ATATTGAACAATTACTGACTGAAACTGAAGCAAAAAAAATAAATATAAAGGCATTTGTTTTGGATTCCGCTGATGAATATGCAGCTGCACAGTAAATTATTATTTATTTATTTTGTTTATTTATTTTTTTTTATCTTCTGGTACTGGTAAGGCTAAAATTCTTTTCACTTTATCTTCAGTATTGGCTTCGCGAAAGGCTTTGCATTTTGATAAATAATTGCAGCACAAACATGCCCTATTAACTGTACAACATTCTGACTTTAATTGAGCTACTCCTAATCTATTATATTTTCTTATACACCAGTTGCACACAGCGAGAGTATTTGTAGGATTATTTGAATTCTTAATTAAAGTAAAATAACTTCTAAAATTATGAGGAGACATAATAGGTGAATTTTTTTAAAAAAAAAAATTTCTTTGATATTTAATTTATCGTATGCTAACAACATTCTATCTTGATTAATTATATACGGGTTATTATACAAGAAAAAAAGTTTAAAAACAGAAACTAATTAAAGTTTCAATATAGTGAAGTCAAGCTCAAAACCAGTTTAGAATTCTCTTGATATTGAGAATTTAATATCTCTTTTTATGACAACTTTTTAAAAAAACTTGATTGTGCTTTATCAACATTTGATTCTAGAAAATTAAAGAATTGCTTACTACAGGCAAAATATATGAAGATAGTATCAAAATTTGCTAACTAACCAATGTAGCATATAAAAATTATAGCAATAAGCATTAGTAATATTTAAAACGGTTTACTAACAAGATCTGAATTTATATTAAGTATCAATCAGAACTAATCCTGTACCACAACTATAAGGCGCAAAGGTTTATTCGCAAATAATTAGCTAAACAAAGTTTAGCCATTGTTGTGACCAAGGGAGAGATTTCTATACTTCAATGCTGAATTGGCACAGGGCCAGACATAAACGCAGAATTATTAGTATGAAGAAAAGTAGTTAAGTTGATAGATTCCTTTCTTAAAGCACAAGAGTTGGGCATTATATCATTGCTGTTAAATGATGGTTAATACATCAAGACCTTTAAGGTTGTCGATCTATTCAGTATTTGGGTAATGCAGTTGATCTGGAAACTTAAGATCGTCCAAAAATAGACGATACAGGTTTAATGATGCATCCAAAAAAACAGATAATGAGTTTTAAGGTTATCGCGGGGCCTTATTTATTAGGAAGGTCATTATCGGGTATGTACGTATTTGTTTATGATCGAAGCAGAAAGAGTTGTACGTATTCTCTATTATTTTGGGTGTTGTACTTATACACTTTTACTTATACATTTGAGTACTACTAAGGGGAAAGGCACTTCGGACTTTCAATTATATTTTGTACTAGACGCAATTTATCTAATCTATTAAGGATTGTGTCTGATATAAAATATAATTGAAAGTCTGTAGTGCCTTTTCTTCTACTTGTATATTTTACCTGTACATTTTTACTTGTATATGTTTACTTATTTATTTTTACTTCAAAGATTTTGAACCTAATCTTGGTCTCAAACTCTTATAACATAATCGATGTATACGTATAACTATACTTGACAAATTATATGTATATACATACATATGTATATCCGATTCTGCTATGTTATACATATGCAATTTTAATTAGTTAAAAGTTATGACCTATCAATTTAGTAATATGATCTCGGTCATAATAGTCATATGACTACTGGTCATAACGTTATGACCTTATGACCTTATGACCTATGGTCATATAACCATATGACCTTGGTCATATTAAAATTTTGTTATGACTTATGTCATATTCTATCACTAGGTATGACTGTTAAAGGCTATACTACTTCACTAACTCAGGATTTCTACTATGCAGGTCCCCTGCCTATAGATTCTATTAAGATTTATTTGTATAATATTATATCTCACCAAATGCCTTGTCACACTTCTAATATTTGGATGATATTAGTGCAATGTGATTTACAGAGTTACAACTTCAGAAATAAACAGGATTTACTGTAAGTTAGGTACAAAGGTCTGAGTAATTATTCAAATTCGTCGACAGTGGAATTTGAACCCCAGACCTCTTGTATAGCAGTCTGGCAACCTAACCACTACACTAAGATCGCCAGACCTTATTTAAATGTTTTATTATAATCTTAATCAACTAATAGCATTATACAAATTAACGATCTCTGATTATTTATTTTAGTAGATATCATTATATATATATAATGATATCTACTTACTCAAAATTGTTATCTACTTATTGCCCTAGACTAATACCTACTTATGATGATATGCCTGTTGTCATTTGAGTGACGAATGATTCGTGCTTGCGTCATTAGAGATATATTAGTATTTGCTCTATTATTTGAGTGATGAATGATTTGCACTTGCATCATCAGAGATATATTAGTATTCACTCTGTTATTTGAGTGACATTAGTTTATGAGTTCATCATCATTTGAGTGATGATTAGTTCACACTTGCATCGTTATACTTGGGTATCTCACAACCTATAAAAATTATGATGACAATTTTATGTTCATATCATCACATTTAGATACTTCATGATCTATAAAAAATATGCTAATAATGCATTCAGTCGCGTATCTACTTAAAGCATAATTTTTTATAATATATATCTGTAATAATTTTATCTTGGGTAGATACTGATTTTTCTTTGCTAATGATATATTCAGTTACGTGTTGTTATTTGCGGGTCTAGTATGAGGGCTATGCCTGCACGTAGTACCGAATTGTTATCATTTATTTTGTTCTACCCAAAGCATAATTTTTTATAATATATATCTGTAATAATTTTACCTTAGATAGATACTGATTTTTCTTTAAATTATGTGATTTCAAGCAATGAAATTGCGAAAAGGCAAAATCCCTGAAATTTTTCATGACTAATACTTATCAATAAATTGTTATCATTTATTTTGTGTTCACCTAAAGCATAATTTTTTATAAGGCTTTGCTCATGCTTCGTATAATATATATCTGTAATAATTTTACCTTGGGTGGATACTGTTTTTTTTGAATTATGTAATCAAAATAGTATACATTATATCTAATTACTCTTTCTTTAATAATTTTACTTTGACCAGACACTAATTTTCTTCGAATTATACCTTAACCAGAGATCGATTTTTTTTCGAATTATGTATATATTTTGTATCTATTAAAAGTATAACTATTCTTTCTATAAAATTATATCTTAATTAGATACCAAATTTTTTTTAAATTATATATATGTTTTGTGTCTATCTAAAGTGCACTTTATAAGATTAGTAATTATACCTTGATCGAACAATGATTTTATCTATGCAATCTTATATTCTGAATTTGGCCCATTATCAAAAATTTTGTGATACAAAAATGATTATCAATTGAATTTACTTACTCTATATATGAACTGCATTTCAATTAAAATTACGTAACACAAAAATGATCATAGTTACCTACCTAATTTTTAATTTAGATTTTTTCTAGCACTTATTGTAAGAGGTGACAAAAATGATCTTATCTAAGGTGAATGGTTAGTTAGTTAAATATAGCAATATACCTTCTGCTAGAGGTATACTACTTAATTAGATTGTACAATAATTATACATATTCAATAAGGGCTAAAGATTTATTTTTCAATTCTTTTTTATGCGGAGTAGTAGGTATGCTCATCTTAGTTTCAAAATTTTTTTTATATTCTAAGAAGTTAGCCTCACTCATATTCTTACGTTCTTTTTTCCAATAATTTTGGTTATCTTACATTTCAAAAATAATCTCAAATCTCCATTGTTCTAACTTTTCTCGAGGTATTTGAAATTTTTATTGTAGATAGAAGATAAGCATATCTATATCAGATTCACTTTTAATGAGAAACTCTGAAGATAAAGAAATTAAAGAATCAAATATTTCTTTCTTATATGTATTGGCTTCAAAAGTAGTAATATCAACATAACATATATCTTGAGAAGAATTCTTTCTATGTTCTGCATCATATTGAGCTAGCATTTCTAAGAATAAATCTTTTTCATCAATCTTATTATTAGATAAGTCAGAAACTTCATGCTTTGTACATTCTGAAGTAATATTATTAGTAATAGGTATAGAATCGAAAAGATCCTGAGTTTCATCAATCAATTCTAGTTTATATAATAGAAAAATTAGATCTATAGGAAAATATTTAGAATTATTTACCTTTATAGCTGTTATTTCTTCTTGAGTTACAAAACTATCTCCACCATATGGTTTGCGATAAATCCAATAAGTTTTTTTCCATACTCTATTAGTTCTTGAACCTACATGAGTTGTACTACTTCTGATAGTATAACCACACCAATTACTTAATATTGCATTAATAAATTTTATTGTAGTATTAAGATCTGGTATTCTTTTAGCTCTAGTTTTAAAGCTAAAGAGTAATAATACATCTTCTCAAATTTTAACAATTTTTTCCTGTGATTGCTTAAAAGTCTTAGCTATATTATCACTTGAAAGAATATTCATATCATCTATATTTTTAAAGCCTATCGATTGGACAAGATTATGTACTGCTTCCCACTGCTTGCCAAATAAAATTTATGCAAATCAACTGAGGATGGATCTATAGATTCACGTGAATCTTCCCATTGCATTTCTTCTTTGATTTTTAGATTTTCTATAGAATTTATTGCATTAGAACTTTGTCTTCTGAAATATAATAGCCTTCTAAAATGCTGTAAAGGTTTAGAATTATTATATCTTTTATGAAATCTATGTCACAAAGCTTAACCTAATCATCATTATTCATGCTCCAGTTTCGAATGTCATCTTTGCTACCAATATCACCTGAAGCATATATTCTCTATAAATAATGATATTGTAAAGTCATGTTATTAGCAAAAGAGCGTATAGGATTTTGCTTAAAAATTTCAGCTTTATTGGGACTAATATCTGAAGCATTAGCTATTGATTCTGCATCTGCACCTTTAATTTTTTTCTCAGTATTTTTAATTGTATGAGAAATTTTATTCCTATTGATTTTTTCAGTATCTTCCACTAAAATTAATTCAAGTATTGCTTCAGTACTAGCAATAAGACTACAAAGAATTTCAGAAAAGTATTTAGCTGATAAGTGTTTCTGATATTTAATTTTGATATAGGTTTCTACTACTAGAGATAAATTAAGTACATAACAGTCAGCAATTTTATCTCATACATGCTAGCCTTTTATTATTGTTGGTAAGTCTCCAGGTCTTAATGCTGAAAGTTCAGCTCAAATAAGTTCCTGATATGGTTCTTTGAAAATATCGAATTTTTTGCTATGATAAAGGGAAACTATACATAATAAGCAGTCATGGATTCTGAATAACATCTGAGCAAATGCTTCAATATGGACAGGAGTAGTGATATTAGTAATTCCTATAATTGTATCAAAATAACTAGATATTTCAAAGAAGATGCTAGCTTCTACAGTACTTGTATAAATTACACAGTCAAGAGTACTCCAGGTAGTATCAATATTAGCAAAATTATCTTGGCGTTGTTTCTCATCTATTTGACTAAAATAAACTCAGGATAAAATGAATAAACTATTAGGTTTTCACAACTTAGATATTTGATTAGCCAAGGTTCAGGCTTTTTTATAGCTAGTCATAACAAATGCAACATTCTTACCTTCTTGAAGTATCTTAAAACCTCTACGTATACCTTCTAAACCTTTATTTGGATTGTAAAGAAATTTAACAATCTTTCTTTTACGTAGTTGATATTTGTTATCAATAACATGATCATTCTCACCTTGATAGAATTTTAAGAAAGCTAAAGTTGAGTTATTTGCAAAAGCATCTATAGCAACAACATGAGTAGCTATATTTAATAAATTACATATAGCATTAGCAGATTCTTGAGTATAAACTCTACTAGCCATTTGACGCATAGTGGCATTTGCTTTATCTAAAATTGCTATACAAGAATAGCCTCTTTGAAAACCAAGACGAAGAATACTTTCAATCTGTACAATAATAAGGTCCTACTCATGCATCTTTAAATCAGCTACAATATTCTGATATTGCCTTACTCTGAAATTGAATTTTTCTAATTCTTTAAGTTTAGCTTCAGATTCATTGCTAAGAGTTTTACGATATGAAACCTATATAGTACAAGGTAAATTGGCACCACTTTGAGCTAAAGATGCCAAAATTTTTTTTAATATTTTTATTTTTCCAGTACCTACAGCAGAATGAATAAGAGTAGTACTAGGCTCTTCATTTAAAAAATCTGAAAAAACATCTAAGGCATCCTCCATCTCTTTTACATTAATACTTTCTCTAGGTAATTCAGGAAATTAATGCGAAGTTGATAGAGCCTTAGATAATCTTTTATATAATTTCTACTTCTTAGACTTTTCTTTCAACTCAACTTTGTCTGATACCTTATCGAAGCTAATGCTCTTGTGCTCTGACTTGTATTGTTTTTAGTGATAACACTTAAGTACAAAATATCTATTTTTTTGAATATATCCATAGAGTTGATCCTTATCATATTTAATGTCATATATAGGATATTCTTTAACAGATTGTACTTGAAAGTTAATGAATCCCTTTTCAATTCTTCTAATCTGAAGCCATCTATATTCAGCAATAGCTAAATTAGCTCCTTTAACCAAAGCATCATTATTATCGATAGGTTTAAATTCCTCTTCTGCTAGCTTTTCTTCTAAAAAAGTTCATGGCTAGATCACAGAATAATTCTCTTTAGGCTGAACCAGATAATTATCAAAATTTTTAAATCCCTTGTTAATAGAAGAAATAGCAGGTCTTTTTATATGCTCCTTTTTTGCTGATCCAAGAAGTTGAAGACTAAAACATAACTTAGGAAGACCAATATTAATAAATTTCGAATAAGGTTCCTCAACTAATTCTATAACTTTTTCTGTAAAACCCTTAAGTTCTCTATAATCTACAAATTGGGCCTGAGAATAAATAATATACTAGCTACATTTCTCAGCATTAGATGAACTAGCTAAGGCAAAAGAATTTAAGAAAGGTATACAATTAGGAATAAGGCTTAATACATCTGCACAAGTGACTAAAATTTGAGATATAAATCTTTTCAGTTAATTTTTTCACTATTTAAAGAAGCATGTTTAGGATTATTTGGATCAGGTTTTTGTCTTGTATCAATATCAATAATTAAGTATAGGGGCTAGTTTCTATTGATATATTCATGGGTATCAGGTATTCTATAAACTTCAAAAAGATGATCGATCATTGTATAACCTTTTCCTGCTATCTAAATTACATATTAAAAATGAATCTTCTCAGGTCGATATGCATCTAAAAGTGCAGTATCATTTTTATCAGTATAGCTATTGGATGCAAGCTAGTATTTATAAAATATATGTTCTTTATAGCTGAGTTTATAATCAAGATCTGTTAAACCTATAAAAAGCTGTTTTGCTGTATTATATTCAGCAGACTTTTGATTTAAGCATTGTTGCTATAATAATTCATAAAGATGTTTTTTTGCTTCACTAGACAAACTCATTTTATTGATTTGTATATATGTTGTTTGTATATGTGCATTGTTTGATCTAACAAAAAGTATATATTATTAAAACTATATTAATTGGTAGATAAATCTTTAAAATAAAATTAATTATTCCAGAAATTTTAGCTGGATGCCAAAAATAATTATATATTTAATTGAAGTAATTATTATATATAATCATGATAATATTATACTATTGCTCATATATTTATAGAACTGGAGAAATCTGTAGTTGATATAGTAAATCAGAAAGATGTTATATTCATCGTAATTCTTCAATACTTACTCTTTGTAGAGATTGTGATGAGTTAAATAGGTCTAAATATAATACATGCAATAAACAAGTGAGAAAATATAAAAGTAAAGAGAATTATGACAGAAAAAAGCAGGATAAGTTATGTGTACAAATTATCAGGTTTAAGAATTATATATCTGACTTCCCTAATTCTATACACGAAGTCTAATCATATATCTGGCATATATATATATTGATTATTTTTTCCACAACCTCTTATTTTAGAAAAATAGCACTTATATGCTTAAGTAATGTTATATCCTCTTTGATACCTTCTATATTTTTGGTAATTTTATTGTGTAAAGCTATGAATTCCAAGACTTTATTTCAGGAGAAATGACACTTTGTGCCTGATTAAACTTGTGTCTTATTCACGTCCATTTTCTTATAAGATTACTCAAACAGCAATCCATTCAATTTTGGATATATATACTGACTCATGATAATTAATTTTGAATTAAAAAAAATAAGTAGGTTAATGTATAATCACATTCTACTTATCGATATAGATTATTTATATATCTATCATGGCAACTATCCAAAAAACTAGAAAACCCAAAACTAATAGCTTTACCTCTATTTTGGATCAGATCCTAAAAAAATATAACCTATTAGCTGAATCAAACTTGTTTCAATTACATACTTATGCTGATGAGCTTAGTACTATACTACTAGATTAGAAAGCTCATAAAGATGTAAAAGAGGCTCTCCATCGATGCTTATTCAAAGAAAATCAAATAGAAGCTCTGGTTCTAAACAACAAAAAGAAAAAGCTTACTTTCAAGGAAAAAGCTCAATATTGTGCAAAAACTAAAGATGTGTAAGATATTTGGTTACATGCTTTAGACTTAGCTATGCCAAAAAAATAATATAGATGAAGCAATTATGGTAGCCAGTTTTCGTATTTCATAATTTTGTAGAGAGTTAGCAGAAGCTAGAGTTGGTTCTGAGCAAATTTATATATATGCCAAATTACTAGAAGTTACTTGAGCTTCTAATGAAATTCAAAAAAGGTAACTCAAACAGTGATTACTCAATCTACCTAAAACTTCTAAACACTTTTCCTTAGAGGAAGGACTTAGAAGAATTCAAAATATCAATACTACTAAAATCTCTACTATGCAAGATCTTGCAGATATAATTATGATGTTGAGTATGAGACCCGCTGAAGTTGCCACTCTTTGTATTATCTATTATGAATCTAGTGAATCAAATTCTCTTAAATAGTACAAGCTTGGTTATTCTTAGTATTGTATTGAGTATATTAAAAATAAAGGAGAAGCAAAAAATAATCTAGAATCTCAGCAATTTCTATTCATAGAAAAGAATCCAGAACATGCAAAAGAATTACTTACCTAGATCCAAGATGCAATAGCAACTAGAAAGTTACACAATCCTGTCTATAGTATTAATAGAAAACGCAGTATAGAAATATTTAGTAAATTTTTAAAACCATATGATATTACAGCCAAAAGATTAAGAAAAATCAGAGATAAACATGCTTCTAGAGTTTATGATAGTCAAAATCCAACTTTGCAACATTTTGAATTTCTCAGCAGAATTGCAATGAGATATAAGATAGACTGTTTTGATTCTAGAAAGTATTATACTAAGAGTAATATTTCTGATTCTGACCTTGACTCAAATCCAGAGCCTGAACTAGAAACTCGAGCTCCCATACCCAAGTCAACTAGTGAGAACACTTTTATAACTGAAATCAAAGATATCTATAACTTATATAGGAGTATTTAGATTAGTTCACTATAATCTAACTTCACCTCTTCGGGCCTGCTTTGCAATAAATCTATCTAGAAATAATCGAACCTATTAGATATTTTTTAGTAAAGTTATATATGCTAACCAACTCACTAACTACACTTACCCTTAAGCTAAATTTTTTGCTAGCAAAGATCAAGCAATGATTCTTTAGATCAAGACTTTGATTCTCCTAACTCATACTAATTAATTCGTGAATGAACAGATCACCAAATCTGAAATTAGCTTAATAGAATCTGCAAATTAGTTTTGTTAATCATGAGAAATAAACTATATAAAAAAGCTAAGTATAAG